TATAAGTTTCGGTAATTGATCCTCAAATCGTTCCTACAGCTGTAAATCTTCGCACTCTCATTATTTTGCTTATAACTCAATAGCCTTTAATTTTTTTGACATTCCGTTTGAATAATACGGAGGATCAATTAAGGTACTAAATATTGGCTATAACTAAAAAAATGATTGCTCAAATTTTTAATTTTGGCAAGATGCCAAAACCTTTCTATTTTGCTTATAACTCACGAACGGTGTATTCCGTTGATATGCGGTTTAAAGATTCTGGAGGATCAATTAACGCACCACAATTTTGTATAGTTTTTGGTAATTGATCCTCACTTTTTAAAAAATTCCTACAACTTCACGCTTTAAAAACAGGTTATAACTCGGTTGCGGTTAGTGATATCGTTATCCGGTTTGGAAATTATTAACTCACAAATTAAAGCCTAAATAATTGCCAAGTTTCAGATCGTGATCTTTTATATTTTGAGTTTTGACAAAGTGCCAACACTTTCTTATTTTGCTCATAACTCAGTAACGGTTCATTCCGCTACTTTCCGGATAGAAGATCAATTAGGATCAATTAACTGGCTATACAATGGTATAAGTTTCGGTAATTGATCCTCAAATCGTTCCTACAGCTGCAAATCTTCGCACTCTCATTATTTTGCTTATAACTCAATAACCTTTGATTCCGCTGATGTCTGGTTTGAAGATCAATTAAGACTCTAAATAATGGCATAGGTTTTGGTAATTGATCCTTTCATCGTTCCTACAACTTCACGGACCTTAAATAACGAGATGAACAAGCTAGAACGAGATGACCAAGCTAGTGTGAAGATGATGTTCAAGCGAATGATTAGATGATAAGGATAACAAGCTAAAATTAATGAAAAGATATGACTGAGGCTAAACAACAACAAAATATCAAATGAAAATTCTACAAAGGAGAAAAAAATTTTAGAGGTGGAAGAAGTGAACAAGTTCAAGTTCAAAATATTCAAAGTCAAGTTCAAGATTCGAAAATTCAAAGTTAAATTCAAAATTCAAAGTCAAGTTCAAAAGCGAGAATATGACCTACGACATAGAAAATGATTGTTATGAATAAATAAAATTTTGTAAAAAAATATATATATAAAATTTTGAAAGAGAAATGGGATGATCAATACAAACAGCAAATCAACAACAAGCAATGTTCAACTAACGACGTTTCAACAATGATGTTCAACCAACGATGTTTCATGATGTTCGATAATCGATTCAACAAACGATAATCAGATGGTCAAACAAACAATCTAAAGATATACAAACAAATGACTAATGGAGCAATTGAGAAACAAATGACTGGAAGTGACGATAAGAAACTGAGGAAAGAAGACATAAAAAGGGGGGGGGGGGGAATGTTAAAATACAATTTGAATATTTTTTACTTTGTAATTAATGACCTTTTGTAAAAATCTTTTCTTTTTTTAATGACCTTTTAAATTATATTAATTTCGTAAATGTTAATAAGTAAATAGTAATAAAATAATAATATATATATATAGCTGTAAAAATTGTAAATATCTTCAGTAGTAATTTTTATAAAATTAAAATGATAAATTAAATTTTTTACTTTTTCTTTACCTGCCTTCCCAGAAAATATCAGTAAGCTATACATTAAAGAGACTAAGAAAGTTATCCCTTTAATTTTTTATCTGAGCAATGTAAAAATAGTCTATTGTAATCGTTTTATTTTCATCTTAACCACTCCACCATAATTTGGTGTCACATTTTCTTTCCAAAATGTCAAAAATCCATTTGAATACTTTTTATAGTATCGCTGCTAAATAATAGAGTATCAAAGATGCCAACAGATTTATAGAGTATCATATTTTAAAATTAACTATTTAATCGCTCAGAATTAAAACTGAAATGCCCTTAAACATTGAGAATATTAAAAGTTCAGAAAAAAATCGAAAAATGAAATTGCCCAGACGGATATTCAGTTTAAAAGATAAATTGCTCAGAAAAATATATGAAATAAAATAATATTTTCTATTGATTTAAAAAAATAGTCACTATTAGCAATTATCGCGGTATTGATTTCGTGTTAAATTGACTTTGCGATTTGATTTTACCTTCTTTGTAAGATTTTCGTTATTATAAATTGCCGATAAAAGTTTCGCTGTTATGTATTAGCTCTAAAGAGATCTCGGTAAAAGCTCTGCTATAAAAAATTCTCGATATGGCCTTTGCTGAATAGCATGCAAATCTGGACTCGCGACATTTATCTATAAATCAATTTGCTTTAATAAACGTTTGTGATAAAGGTTTTGCTATGGTTTGTTAAATTTAAAACTTTTTAAGTTGAAAAAATCTTTAGAGTTATTGAGTAAAAATCTTTGAGGATGAATTTTTAATATAAATTGCAATTTCAACTTGAGAGAATGTAAAGAAATTGAAAAATATTTAGTTAAATATAAAAGAACTTTTATAAAAAAAAATTATTAAGGGATTTTTTTTTCACTTTTATCTTCCAGGGTAATTATTTTCCTCTTACCGTCTATTCCGCTTTTTTTTTAAAAAAAATTTATCAAAGGGCGCTCTAAATTCTGATTTTGCTAGAAAGAAAATGTCGTGCCCACCCTTAACCCTCACTGCTAGTCATGATGACTTTTGGCGTCCCTAAATAAAAATATATTTGACGGCCCTTTAAAAAAGGAATTTATCTAATTTTGAAAGAAGGTAAAATAAAGTGGCATTTGTAAATAAGTAGCTTAGAAGATGAATTATGTAATATTTATGCAATGACTCAATTGTATAATTAAGCATAACTTATGTAATATTTTTATTTTTTTAATTATAATTCACTTTTATTATATAAGAAACAAAATTTAACGGCCTCTAAAATATTCTAATTTTTGTCCCAGGGCTGCTGTCCCACAGCCCCACTTTTCATAAGATTTCTGCTGGTAACCATAGGCCTACAGGTCACTTTAAAATATATAAATAATTTCGTTCAAAATTTAATTATCACTAGAACGTGAGTCCTGCAAAGCTAGGGGTAATATCGGGCCCGGCCAATAGCCCGAAAAACATTAATGTTATATTTGTTTCTCATTCTTCATTTTTTCAAAATTATAAGTTTTAAAAATCGGAAGATGGTCACAACGAACCGAGCCTAGATTTAAAAGGTGGGTAGTGTTGTTGAAAACCCCGATTTGGGTAGATTTTTAAAAACGGCCCGATTAAGATTTTAGCCAGAATAATATTATGTAAGCCTCAAAATTTAGCAAATAGATGCCCAAACCCAGGGGTTCGAACCGAACCGAACCGCAAAACCGGAATGAACCGTTATGATTTTCTGAACCGTAACCTTAACCGAACCGTTATGAAGAAAATATTAAAAGAGCGAACCGAACCGTTATAAATATTTTAACCGGTTCAAAACGGTTTTAAAAATAATTAATTTTAAATTATTAACCTAAATTTAAAATTTTAATTTTCCTTGGAGGCATTTTTTAAATTGGTGATTTCTTTTCAAATTAAATATTTCTATATTATCAACATTATATATCAAATTAAATATTTTTATATTATCAACATTATATATCAAATAATACCAGGTTTGTTGTTTTTTCTTTAAATACTTAATTTATAAGAGATTAGACAATTTATCTATTAATTAGATAAGATATCTTAAAATCATTAGTGACATATTAAAAGCTTTATATCCAGCTTATGTTTTGACAAAATATTTACAAAGTGAACAATTGACAATGGGCGATTTTTATGCTGCGTGGATCAAATGTCTCATGCAAATAAAGTAGACACTCCATTTGCCAGACTTTTAGTTTCTACGATGAAAGCACGAGAAATAAATTTCAAAAATGAAGTTTTTTGCTCTGCTATTTATCTCGACCCTAGATATAATGTATTTTTAACTTTTGAAGAAAGAGAGATCGCCAGAAAACATCTTTGTAAAACTTGGAACTTGATACAAAATCTAAATAATCAGAATATTGAAATTCTAAATACTATGCCTACGTGTTCGTATTCGAAGAATAATTTAGATGATGATTTTGAAGATTTATTAAAGTCGCATGAAAGTCTTAATAAGAATAATTCTCAGGGCATCGAAAATTATAATAAATGTATAGAAATAGAATATATAATTCGGTCATTTGATAATATAGAGAGATTAGAAAAAGATACTAATCTTTTGAATTTTTGGGAAAATGTAAAGAATAGTATGCCAGAACTTTATAAGTTAGCTTTACTGTGCTAGCAGTTCCAGCTACGCAGGTCTCCGTAGAAAGAGCATTTTCAAGCCTTGTTTATACTCTCTGCGCAGAGAACTAAATTAAATCCTGAAATATTAGAAAATATTTTAATTATCCGTTCGAATTCTCTTTTTAAACCTAAATAGTATAGTATACATATTATTTTATTCATTATTGTATTTACGCATGTTTGTTTTTATCTTATTTATTTATGAAATAAAAAAAAACTAATTTGTCTAATTTATATTTCCTAAATTTAATAAAAATATCTATTAGATTATCATGGATAAATTAAATAAGAAATTATAAACTAAAAAGATTTTTCTCTAAAATTAATATATACATGGTTAATGATTAATTTTTTTTAAAATTAAATTTATAAAAACCGGAACAAACCGAAAAGAACCGTTATAAATTATAAACCGAACCGATATGATTTTTTTTAAAAACCGAAATGGAACAAAACCTTTATAAAATTTTAAACTAAAAACCAGAACGAACCGAACCGTTATACTAAACGGTTCGAAACCCTGCCCAAACCTTTCTGCCAGCTATGAGCAAAATCTCCAATATAATATTATTTTAATTATAACCAATCGGACCGTTTTTATCGACCCGGGGCTAAAAATTTTCGATTTTACAGCTAATAAATTTTACTTGGCTTGGCTTCATATTCGTATGTCTCCTATTTATATTTTTGTTCATTTAAAAATTCCATATTGAGTTTTTATTTAATTGCAAAAATAAATTGTAAATAATAGTGCTTACAAAGGACTGACTAACATATTTGTATATATTCAAATAAAATTAATATGCATATCATCAATACTATAATGATATAATATATAGTTATAGTAAATATTTATAAAAATGAAATTAAACAACTTATACATCAGTTTGTGCGTATATAAGCGGCCAATTTTAGTTAAATGAATAAATTTTATTTGTATGATACATTTTAAAATATTATTGAAACAGACATTAAAATCCATTGTCGTTATCATCAAACAGATCACCAAAGCCTATTTAAAAATAAGAGAATATAATGTACATGGATAAAAAATAAATCATATAATTTATTTATGGATGCACCAAGTACTTTTCAGTAGTGGTCCGATATTGCGATTGCAGGATTAATATGGATTAATAAAATAAATTATTCGTATGAAACAATTTTTTTAAAATAATTTTTATAAAAAAATGCATTTATTATTTTTGGTGGACAGTTTAAAAAATTAAGACAATTGTATAAATTTGATTGTATTATAAGTTATTAGGCAAAACTAATTTTTTTAAAATTATATTAATTCTTGCAATCTCATATATATTAGCCCAAATCAGGCTTTCATACATTATAGAACTATATTAAAACAATTAACCCTAACCCATATCTCTCTAACTTTCTGATTTTAATCCTAATTAGTGTTTTTAAATGGCCCGATTTTTAAAAACGGCTAACCCGATATTTTAACCAAAAATATTACACAAGCTTGGAGATTTTGTTTAGATAGCAGAATGTCGTGGACATACCAAATCTCTAAGTTTGCGTAATTTTTTTGGTTATGAATGACTTAGATGCGGGTAATTCCATACCAAATCGATAACTTTTCGGCCCGACCTTTTTAATTTCGATAAAATTTTGTATGCTCAGAGAATATCATTTGAAAGCATCGAATCCAAAATTTTAGCTTCCTAGTACTCATAGTTCCAGAGATATCAATGGTCAAAAGTGCCAAAAATGACCTTTTTTCGAAAAATACGATTTTTTGAAACTGAGATAAGTTAAAAAATAATGATTTTAAAAATATAAGTTATATGTCATTTTGTAACTCTATTAAAGGCCTTTTATTAAATATTAAGGATTTTTTTGAAATAACATTGTTACGGTTTTTATTTACGTTATAAATTTTAAACATAAAAATTCCAGGTGTTTCGCTTTCCAAATTTTTTTGAATTTAATATTTTCTTATTCTCTAACCTTATATCTATTCATAAAAAAATTTAAACTTGGGACAGCCATGGGTTTTTTAGTTATTACGATTTAAAAAATCAAAAAATAAATATTTTTTTCAAAAATAGATATCGCTCTTTTATAAAATAACGTGTTTTGTTATAATTATTATTTTTTAAAACTTTATTCCACTTTTAAACATAAATAATAAGATTTTCCAGCATTAATATCATGAAATGAGATTATTTAGCGGCGGTTATAATCATTTTTTTTTGTAAAAAATTTTAATTTTAAAAAAATTATTTTATAAATTTTTAAGATATATAGGATAAATTAAAATTCATGAAAGATATTACCTATTTTCGGTTTTTCATTAAATTTAGTTTCTTTGACGCCATGAAAATTTCGTTTTGCGATAAATTATATGTAAGCCCAGTAGCCGTTGATGGGCTAACTATTGTTAAAATATTATTTTTTGGTATGAAAAGGATGTTTTGTGCAGCTGGATAAATAAAAGAATTTGCTGGTCCTTTAGAGTGAAGAAATTTTTTACTTCATCTCTAATTACATTCACTTCTTGTACAAATCCTAACCACCAATTGTTTTCATATGCACATGTTACATATCCTCTAATCGCATCGATTATCAGATCCTCAATCAAATATATTCACGTGGATATATTGACATTCGTTGCAGTCACCAAAATAACAGGTGGGTAACGGGGGATTGCAAATCATTCTGCCTATAACATCTCTATAAGTTGTTAATGTATCCTCAACATTTTTAGTCAATGTTGCTAATTACAGCTTAAAATCATAAGTTTTATATTCTGATGTATGCTACAAACGCATACATGATGTGTTCCGCTAGCCCCTGCTAATATACAATTTTTTGGTCTTAAGCTAGCAAATTTCGAAAATCCAATTGTTAAGTTTGAATTACTCGCCTTAAAATGATTATATAATTCTTTCAAATTATTAAGAACTAACCTTTTTTGAGCGTTCACTCGTTCCCCCTTTTCAATGATAGATATGCAATCTTTTTTTCTTGGTAATATCTACTAACTTTATCAATGCAAAATTTTTTTTAAACAATATCAACTGTTTTTTTATTGAGATATTTTGCAGGCTTTCGATTTGGAGTTGAAAGACTCCCCTTTTCTTCTAAAATGATTTTGGAATTATATGCCATATGATATGTAGCGTTGAATGTCGTTTTTATTTTATTTGCGCTCCAATTAGGAGGCAGAATGGTCAGCAATTGATATTTTTTATTTTTAGATAAATTGGGATATTGTAATTTCATGTTATTGAGTATATAATTATTATCTTTCGTATCCGAATCTGGATTGTTAATTATTATATCTGTAATCGCTTTTGTTATTTTTGCTGCCTTTTTTTGAATAATTTTTTTCGGTTAGTTTTTTTTTCTTAATAGGAGATATTCCTATTTCATTTAAAGTTATTTTGATTTTATCTATTGATGTTGATGCTGTTATTTACATATTCACTATCAGAATTTATATTTTTATATTTTTTTGTGATAACCTTGGCATTTATCACAAATATAATGTTCCGCCTCAATGTTTGGATATTGTGTCATCCTAGTCATGACTTTGCGCTGGTTCTTTTTATAATTAAAGTGTTTAGATTCTTTAAAAGGATTTACGCATTATAATTAATATCAAAATATTTGCAAAATAAAAATTAATTAATATTAGGGCAGGTACATGAAAACTAGCTTTTATCTTTCAACAATTAATTATTATATTTTCTTGTATGAGATATCGGAATCTTAACTATCTTTTTAGGTAATTTAATCATTTATTATAAAAACTATTTACAAGTTATCAATATAGCAATAATAATAAGTAGTGATCTGCATCGAGCCTAATTTTTCAAGCCCGGCCCGGCCCGAAATTTTTTTAAAAAATCGCCGCCCCGGCCCAAACCCGAAATTTTTTTTTACCCGCCCCGGCCCGAATTTATTTAAATATAGGAATTAATTTTTATAATTACTCAAAATAAAAGACATATGTTATATGTCGTTAAAATCAAATATTTTTATTTTACATAAAAAATTCAATATAAAATTGATAAATTTATATATATTTAAAAAAGTTTCCAAGGTCCGACCCGGCCTGAATTTTAGGCACAAAGCCCGTCCAAGCCGGGCCTAACTTTGCAAATCTCTAATAATAAGTAAGCCTATCAAACGATCTATATAATATATTTTCCTGATTGTAATGCTGGAAAATCTTATTATTTATGTTTAAAAGTGAAAAAAATAATAATTATAAAAAAATACGTTATTTTATAAAGGAGCGTTATCTATTTTTGAAAAAAATATTTATTTTTTGATTTTTTAAATCGTAATAACTAAAAAACCCATGGCTGTCCCAAGTTTAAATTTTTTTTATGAATAGATATAAGGTTAGAGAATAAGAAAATATTAAATTCAAAAAAATTTGGAAAGCGAAACACCTGGAATTTTTATGTTTAAAATTTATAACGTAAATAAAAACCGCAACAATATTATTTCAAAAAAATCTTTAATATTTAATAAAAGGCCTTTAATAGAGTTACAAAATGACATATAACTTATATTTTTAAAATCATTATTTTTTACCTTATCTCAATTTCAAAAAATCGTATTTTTCGAAAAAAGGTCATTTTTGGCACTTTTGACCATTGATATCTCTGGAACTATGAGTACTAGGAAGCTAAAATTTTGGATTCGATGCTTTCAAATGATATTCTCTAAGCATACAAAATTTTATCGAAATTAAAAAGGTCGGGCCGAAAAGTTATCGATTTGGTATGGAAATTACCCATGCTGAATACCTTTAATTTGAAAGGCATAGAATGTTGTTAAATGACATGAGTTGGGTCGATCGGGCCCTTTTTAAAATCGATCTAAATCGAGCCGTTTAACAATACTACATGGAAAACACTTAGCGCTAATATTGCCTATACTACCAGTCATTTCTATGTAAAATCTAAAATACTTTTTGAAGCTTGGCTAATTGTTTTGGTAATACTTTTAGAAAGGTATATTACATTTTCTACTTCATCATTTGAATATCGTCCTCATTAAAAGACGAGTCAGAGTCAGAATTCATATTAAATTTTTTACATATGCGTAGCCAGAGAGGGACAAAGGAAAATCCTCTCCCCCCCCCCTTCGGAAATTAGTCTATTCTAGTAAATATCATTTTAAGCTAATAAAAATTCCTTCCTACACATCACCATGCTCCTCTCTCTCCAAAATATATTTAATATATCATATATAAAAATTTTAGAAAAAAGTGAAAAACCATAATTATTTTTATAAAAATATAATTTGGCCATACTACAAAGGTGGACCTACCAATAAAATTTATGGGGCAAACACCCTTATAATAATATTTCCCCCTACCAAATTCAGGTCTATGGCTATGATTTTGTATCTGTCTGATTCATTTATCAATATTATTAACTATATAAAATAGGCCCGTATGCAGAATCAGATATTAATCAAAATTTTAAATTAATAAGTTTATTTTAAAATTAATTTATTATAATATAACATTTAAAAATATAATTATTTGAAAATATTTACAACTATTAATTATCAATTTCGAATATCGACTACTGTTATCGGTTAAAATTGGATGAATCGGCATGGATACAAACTAATACCATGTGTATCAGTGCATCTCTAATTTTAATACTAACTAGAGATGGGCATGGCTGTGAAAATCTCCGCGACTCAATAACAGGTAAAAAAAAATTTATAAAGGTATAATTTGATAATTCTAATAATTAAAATAACCTTTTAAAGTCTTTATATAGGTTCTAAAATATAACCCTTATTATGGTAGGAATTTTTTCAGACACATGCAGAGGTCATTAAAGTTATTTCTTTTGAAATTTTCCCAGTGATAGCTTTGAAAAATAGGCCAGTCTGGCTCATTTTATTGTTAATCGGCTTAGCCGAGTCGGCTCGAACAGAGGTGACCTAAATTTTGGGTCGCGTTTTTTTCGACTCAGACTTGAAGCTTGGTTGTTTTTTTCGACTCAGACTTGAGGT